AGTCTCTTTACAAGAACAGAGTGTGGGAACTGGTAAAGGTACCGGAAGGGAGGAAGCTTGTGGGTTGTAAATGGATTTACAAGAAGAAAGAAGGGTTGTCGGAAACTGAGCAAATACGTTTTAAGGCTAGGCTAGTTGCTAAGGGGTTCAGTCAGGTAGAAGGGGTTGACTTTGTTGAGATATTCTCACCTGTGGTTCGACATACTTCTATCCGTGTGTTATTGTCAATTGTAGCACATTTTGATCTTGAGCTGGAGCAGTTGGATGTTAAAACGGCCTTCCTTCATGGCGATTTGGAGGAGGAGATTCTGATGAAGCAGCCCGAAGGATTCGAAGCTCCTGGAAAGGAACACTATGCCTGCAGATTGCTAAAGTCATTGTATGGACTTAAGCAATCCCCCCGACAGTGGTACAAAAGATTAAAGGAGATGCTTAACTCGGAGTTTGACATGAAAGACTTGGGTGCAGCTAGGAAGATTTTGGGTATGGAGATCTACAGGGATCGGGCTAGAGGTAAGCTTTTCTTGACTCAGAAAAGCTACATTGAAAAGATTCTGTCTCGTTTTGGGATGGAAAAATCGAAGCCTATAAGTACGCCAACTACTGTTAGTTGTAAGTTGTCTTTGTCTATGTCACCTCAATCAGAGGAGGAGTTGTCTTATATGTCTAGAGTTCCATATGCAAACGCGGTTGGTTGTTTGATGTATGCTATGGTCTGTACTAGGCCGGATATTGCGCATGCTGTTAGTGTTGTAAGCAGGTTTATGGCTCGACCTGGGAGGGAACACTGGCAAGGGGTGAAAAGGATTTTTCGCTACCTGAGAGGGACAGCTGATATTGGTCTTGTGTACGGGAATGGTAAGGAATGCTTGGTCACTGGGTACAGTGATTCTGATTATGCAGCTGATGTGGATACCAGGAGGTCTGTGACTGGTTATGTGTTCACTTTGGGTGGTTCTGTGGTTAGTTGGAAGTCTACATTGCAGTCATCAGTTACGTTGTCAACTACTGAAGCTGAGTATATGGCTTTAACTTCTGCAGCTAAGGAGTCTATTTGGCTCAAAGGCCTAGTAGGTGAACTGGGTATTGCACAGGATTTTGCTACAGTGTATTGTGATAGTCTAAGTGCGATTTGCTTAGCTAAAGATCAAGTACACCATGATCGGACGAAGCACATTGATGTCAGGTATCATTTCTTGCGTACTGACAAGAGGATTAAGGTGAAGAAGATTGGGACTGCTGACAACCCGGCTGATTTCTTCACTAAGCCTGTTCCGTTTAGCAAGTTTAAACATTGCTTAGACTTGCTAAATATTGATTACTACGTGATGTAGTAGGCCCTGAGGGGCGAAGTTGGGGAGCTCCTGGTGTAGGTGTGTTGGCATTAAGGTGGAGCTTGCCCGGGGCTTGTGATGCAGGTGGAGCATTATGAGTTGTTATACTTGGAGACGAGTATGTGATGGGTCTTGGTTGAAGACTTATCGGGATGTATGGCTTATGCATGAGTCCTGCATCGGGTTTGGCTTGAGATGTTTTTTCACTATGTCTTGATGGGGTTGTTTGCTGACTACGAGTTCTCGTCAAGGTGGAGATTGTTGATAAGTATATTAGGTGACTCGTACTTCGTAGCTTTGTCCGCCCGATCGGGCGGACATTGCCCGGTCTGACCGGGCGGAAGAAGAAGAGGTGCCTGGCAAATTCGTTGAAGAAGCTGCTCTCGCGCCCGACCGGGCGAGCCTTCGCCCGACCGGGCGAGCCTTCGCCCGATCGGGCAGACCTTGCCCGGTCTGACCGGGCGGTGGGGGTTGGATACGTTGAAGCATTCGTATGGAGTCTTCTTCTCGCGCCCGATCGGGCAGACCTTGCCCGGTCTGACCGGGCGGAGAAGGAAAAATACGGAACGCGGATTTTGCGGTTTTAGGTTATCTTATTTTATTATCTTTTTGCCCAAGTATCTTTTAATTAGGGATTAATATAAAACCTCCCTAATATCAGTATTAGGGTTAAGAGAGACAGAGTGAGAGCCGTTCTTGAGAAATACAAGAATCATCTTTGTAATCTTTGCAGTTTATAGTGAAATCATTCGATCTCGGTGCCCGTGGACGTAGCTATCACATCGATAGTGAACCACGTAAATTCTTGGTGTTGTTCTTATTGTTTGCATTGAATTTCTTTATTGTTTTCTTGTTTGTTTTCGACCTTTGCTTCCGCTGTCGCACAACACTTACATCATCTCAATTGTTTTTGAAGGCATCAACTAACTACTCTATAAGCATTAATTATACCATTTGATATGTTCCCCTCACGATATCGGGTCTCATCCTTCAATCAACATTTGTCTACTTATATCGTTTTATTGATACATTTAATATTAGAATACACTGAAAGGTAAATCTACTGTTAAGTGAATTTATCATATATGATGTATCATAATTGGTTAGCTTAATTAGTTATGGCGTATGTTAAAATTTGAATAGAAAAGTGGTGGAACTAAGTACAATCATAGAACTCTTGATACCAACTACCCCGTAATAAAAAAAAAATGTTAAGATACTTATAAGTAATTCTTTGTACATAAATTGTGAGATTGAAGATTAAAATTCATTTATGACATTGTTGTAAGAGTCACATATATCATCTACAATGTATATGCATGATTATATTGCACAAACCATTTTTTTATATTAACGAATATGTTCATGCTTTCATGCTAATTTATTCAAAGATCTAAACTTATTAGACCTGCATGGGAGCTGAATTTGGTTAATTTTCCCATTTTTGCTTTCCCAGCTACTAATATAAAACAAAAGTACGTGTAAAAATGTGGGAAGACGTAGATATATAATCACTTACCTACCATATATAAGTCCCATATTTTTCATCTTTAGAAAACCAAATATATATTATTAGGGCATATATAAAATAGAAAAATAAAAAAAATAAAACTATATAATAAGAAATAATTAGTAAGTCGTAGTACATAATAATTAAATTCTTTTGAATCTTAATTGTTCTAGATGTAGCTGCATGCATCAGCTAGGTAGTATTAATAGAATGTTTGATTGTGATTTATGACAATTTAAACAGACAAATTAAAAAGGATGATTAAGCATTCCACCTATTATTGATTTATCGTCTATATATTATGGTAGTGGCATTTTATCTTTTATCAAGAAATATAATTATTCCTAATTCAAAAGAATAATTATAAGTGAACAAGAGGGCAAAACAAACGAAATAATTAAAAGGGTAAAGGATAAGTAATGAAACGTGTTAGGTGCTAATTTTGGCCACAAATCTTTAATATAATAATAATAATAATAATAATAATAATAATAATAATAATAATAATAATAATAATAATAATAATAATAGTAATAATAATAATAATAATAATAATAATAATAATAATAAACATAATGTTAGCTACAGAAGAACACATCTAGCTTTCTTTCTTTTCAATCATGATTGTTGTTGATCTTCTTATAGTAATTAATTCATTGGTTGAATATATATATAGATTTCTATTGTTGAAAAATGATACCCGACTTAAAAATAGTTACATTTTTAATTATATCTTCAACTTAATACTAAGTATTCTGTAGTAGTTTATGATTGGCTTCAATAATACATATTGAAAATAAAATACTATAGCAGTGTAAAAGCTATACAATATTATAGAATTGAAAAAATATAGACATTTTTTCAGAGAAATGATTTATAGAGTACTTTATTGTATACTCTATATTAATTATATATATATAACTGATTTGAAGATTTTCCTTAAAATTATTTGAAAAAGTAATTTTTAAATCTAAAATCCATCCACATGTCGAATTAATTGAAAAAATAAAAAAATTCTTTTGAGCTATAAAATGATTCCTAGAACATTTGGTGGGTCAAAACTAATTTTTAGCCGTGTACAGAGAAATAACTACATAGTTAATTTAGTTACACTGTACCATACACAAAGTATAATCGGTTGTACTAAAATGTAATACCTCTTGTTTTTAGAAATACGCATACTCCTACGTCATAGGCTTACATTAATACTTCGTATGTTAGTAGAATCACATATTTTACTTTTCATTACGTACTCTATGTAATTATGCATAAAACTTCTAAAATAAGTACTAGCTAGATATGTATAAATTTTCTAGCTAAATAAATGCTAAAACAGTATATTATTTGTTCTTGGTTCTTATTATACAGTCGATTCTTTTGAAAATTTGGCACTAAAAGCCTATCTACTAATCGTAAAATAAACTTAGTGCTTCTACTTTTCAACGTTTTTTTAGGAATACAACTTTAATTTTCTTGGGATGCAATAGGTTGGGACCCTTTTTTAAGATTATGGAGTAGATTCACTTAGCATTAGCTACGACAAGGAGCCTACTTCCCTCTTTTTTTTTTTTTTTTCTTTCCTAATGGAACCTCCAAAAGACAATCCCTATACTATATAACAGCATATTATAGGACGACATAGAGATATTATTATAGTCCTATGTTTATTTTTAATTTAATGAAAAATAAACATGAAGAATCTTATTAATTTACTACTACTACAAAGAAATTACTAAGAAAATATACTCTTTCTCCCTTGACATTATGAATCTTATTATATCATTCAATTCATGTCTAGTTAAGATACAAAATATATATATATAATATATATATATAAAAGGTAGTGATGTAAAAGAGATTCGATTTTAGGTCTTAATTAAGTATCACCTTCAAGACTTTAACCAATTAAGATAGTTATCAATATTAAAAATTTGTACCTTCTTGTCTGCTACAATCCATTGTAAATAATGGTTATGATTAGAGTAAGTAGTTAAAATCAATGTACCTTACTAGGTTTAATAAATTACAGTTACAGTAGTTATGCGTACCACATAAGTCGTGTAACTGTAGCGGAAGATCGAAATGTAGTGGAAAAGGGCCTACCAACCACATATACCATACTAGATTGCTAGTGCTTTGTCACAAACCAAAACATGAAACAGCCCCACCAGTGACCAGGCTTTCCTTATAAAATACAAGATACCCCCTTTCTATTCATCCCCCAAATACAAAAACCACAAACATGGGTTTCCCAGTTGGATACACCGAAGTATTCATCCCAACTCTCTTCATCCACACTCTCACCTTCTTCACATTACTCCGTAAAATCCTCTTCAACCTCTTCAACTACATGGGCCTGTCCGACTTCCTCGAGCCAGGCCCTATCGCCCTCGATCATCAACTACCTCCACCACTAAACACTACTACCACCCCTCGGATAACAGTGGGGCCCACCTCCCCACCGTTATCCGCCATCGTAACACGAGAACTCCTCCCGCTCGTACGTGTCTCCAAGGAGCAACAAGAGAAAGAAAGCTGCGCAGTGTGCTTGTATGAGTTTAGCAGTGGTGAAGAGATCAGGTGGTTATCCAACTGTAAACACATATTTCATAAAGATTGTCTTGACCGTTGGATGGACCTTGATCATCGTACTTGTCCTCTTTGCCGTACACCTTTCCTTCTTCTAGATTTGCTTGATGAGTTTAATCAACGGCTATTAGCTGCTGATTCTTACGATCTTCTTCAGTATGTTGATCATTATAACTACACTGGATTTTCTCCTCTTTAATTTCTTTTTTCTTTTCTTTTTACTAGGATAAAATAGTTTTATTTGTCACTTTTTAAAACTTTTCTTAGTGTGATTATGAGGTTGTACATCACTAATGATAATCTAGGAGGTTTTTGTTCATAATAATAAAAACATATTGAACATTTTATATGATGTATATAATTCTCTTCTAAACTATAGTGTCATTTTCAATTTTTTTGTTCATGATTAAATTACTAATTACTTGTATATAGGTAGATAATGACGATTACTCATATATATTTATTGTAATTTAAGCAAAATAATCATTGTACTTTTAATTGTCAATATAAATTGAGTGTAATTTGCTAAAATTTAACTTATCCTACAATTTATTAGGCTAATAATCTTTTTCGTACAAAATAAATTATATGATTAAAATTCATAATTGTACGGTTTTATGATAATGCCTAGTGAAAGTGGATAGGACCATGAGAGGTTCAAAAATCATTACCAAAAATAAAAATAAAATGAAAAAATGAAAAAAGAGAAAATCTTAATAAGTACTCGAAAGTAATTGACACAGATAGCTAGATAACAAGCGATATGATCGGATCTTGTCACCATATAATAGCATAATTATTTTGCAATTATTTTTTTTGCAATAGGTAGTTGTAGTAGTGGATCAGTGTTTGTATGTGGTCCTGCATGTGTATAATTACAATAATACTACTAATAATGTATTTTCTATGTGTAAAATGAAGAGGAAAAAACAAATCTTTTGATTAATAATTCATGTTCTAGCCACTAATTTACATTTACCCATCACCTCTTAATTATTATTTTAAACTTTATACCCTAAGATGCAATCATCTATTACACTCTGAAAATCAAAGTTTTTAGATATGCAAAGATCATTATAAAAGTTTGTTTGTCCCTTAAAGTACCTTAAAGTAATAAACCATTTTTTTTTGTCTTTTCGTTTTGTGAATTTTTGATAATCGAAGCTCAATGACAGATAGTCGTACTGGCTAGGTTCGATTCTAACCCCTTCCAATCAATCTTCTTTAGCTAAAGGCAAAGATTGCATCTTTCAGGGCCAATATATGTGACACAAGTTATCAATCGTTGGTAAGATTCATACTTCATATCTATAATTTCAATTAATACATACATATAATAATAAAAATAAAAAATAAAAAAAAATACTCTGATTTATTAGTAACATAAATAATTAATTAATAAGCAAGAGAGTGATCGTGTAAGCAGAAATCATGTGTATAAATGCTTTTACACTTTTCCCAAACTTGATAATATGGGTGACTAAATCATGCCATCCTAGCAAATATTGTATTCTTGTCCCCCATTGTTTTCTTAGTAAACACATTACATACAAAAGGGACCATATTATTATATTTATTTAAATTTGGAGACATAAAATGGTTCAATGTTTTTCAAAGTATAGTATTGTAGTAAGTGATGAATGAGTAGTATCTAATTTTTGGGTGTATGTGCGCACTTGATCTATCCCTATCTCAGGCTTCTGTACTCTGAATTTCTCCTATTTCTGTTAAATTTTTTCAACTTGCGGTTAAAGTTTTTCCTCTACTAAGTTGATGGCACATGTCCTTTATTATTTTTCCTGACACTTCTATCGTTCCCTTTATCTCTTAATTTTCTTGGTTGGGACGGTGGATGTAATGTCGGGGACATGGGACTGATCAACACCCGTGATAGTAATGATTTATGATTAGATTTATTAATTTGGGAAGAATGCTGTAATTGGGACTTGAAGACGAACAAACAATGTGGAAAGACTTGTAGCTTTCGCACCACGTGTGCATATATGATAGCGTCAATGAGAAGTATTAAGCATATATCGTACTCAATACTTATATAATACGAGTATATATGTGATCAATGTCAACAAGCAGTGGGAGATTTAATCATGCACTAAATCCAATACGAATATATAATTAAGGCATCATAAGCAACTAATGATGATTAATTATTTGAAAAATGATGACAAAAGTTGAAATTAACAAAAATTGGCTGCCGCCTAAGCTAAGGAATATGTCAAATCCTTAATGCTGTAATACCTAACAGTGTAACACCCACCCCAACTTTAATTAAGCACCTACAGTCTCCATTGTTAATAACCCATTTTTGTCATTGATTTTGGGCCTACGAATCTTTCTACCTTGTCGGCCCTGGGGCCCATTACCCTTGCTTCGATCCTGCTTACAGTACATACTACTCTAATAAGTCTAATTTTAATTAGTCTTCTTGTTTAAGTATTTAATGAGTACATATCATAGAAAATGGGGTTCTCTAAATCTACATCAAAAGTTTAGAAACAAACTTGCCTGGTAAATTAAAGTCTATTTCTGATACATACGGAACACTCTCTTTATATCTCATGTGATGTGGGTTCTCTCACCTACTACTACGAAATATCTTTCAATCAAATTGTAATCTTATTGTTATATGCTCTCCAACCTAACATGAAGATAATTTGTTTACATACTGTTAAGTACAACTGTGAGAAGTGTTTGTCCTAAATTGAAAAGAAAGTAAAGGGCTTTCAGTTTATAATTCAAGCGAACTACTCCTACTATTGTCAATTGGTTTTAGGATGGAATCTCGCCTTGGGCTCTGATTTGTGGGCTTCTGGGCTTCTCTTCCTTGTGTTCTTAAGGACCATCTGTGAGTGCTGAGGGAGTGTATAGGCTCACACTTGAGGGGGAGATTGTTAGGTATAAGTGTGAGAAGTGTTAGTCCCACATTGGAAAAGAAAGTAAAGGGCTTTCAGTTTATAATCCAAGCGGACTATTGCTCCTATTACCAATTGGTTTTAGGATGGAACCTCGTCGTGAGCTCAGATTTGTGGGCTTTAGTTTACCGGTGAAACATGAGAGTGAGGCGATTTGATCATGACGCTTAGAGAGTGGGATCTACTAACCAACCTTCCAAATAGCCTTTATTTTAATTTCTTTACATGCCCCCCAGCTTCAATTATTTTTATTGGAAATGTGTACTCTATAGTCGCTAACATAGCCATGAACTCATATAGTCTAAACTTCTCTCTATATCACAGATTGCTATTAAATTGCCAACAATTCAGATAAAAAAAATATTGAGGAAGTATACAGTGGGGTTCCTGGAAGAAACATAATCTGGCTACTAAACAAGTGAGTGTGAGCATAACATTATCAACAAGTTTTTGGTGCAGCAGGCCACATCGTGTGGCACGAGTTATCCGAGTTATTTTATTAGGGGTTATTCGAGTTATTTAGTTAGGGGTTACTCGAGTTACTCAGTCAGGGGTTACTTGAGGGGTTTGGACAGGGGTTACTCGAGGGATTCACTCGATCAAGGGTTACTTGAGGGGTTTCTCGATCAGGGGTTACTCGGTCATGGGTTACTCGAGGTAGTTGATCAGAGGTTACTCGAGTTACTCGGTTAGTAGTTATTTAAGGAATTTGGTCAAGGGTTACTCGAGTAATTCTGTCAGGGGACTTAACGAGTTCGGTCAGGGGTTACTCGGACAGGAGTTATTTGAGGGTTCAGTCAGAGGTTACTTGAGGGGTTACTTAGTCAGGGGTTACTTGAGGGGTTCGGTCATGGATTACTCGAGGGGTTACTCGGTCAGGGGTTACTTGAGGGGTTACTTGGTCAAGAGTAACTCAAGTAACCCCTAACCGTGTAACTTGAGTAACCCGACAACTCGAGTAACCCCTGATCGAGTAACCCCAGCAACTTGAGTAACCCCTGACCGAGAAAATCGAGTAACCTCGACAACTCGAGTAACCCCAGCCGCACGGTACAGCAGGCCGCATACAAAAAATTGTTTAACACTATATATATTTGTTGATGTTTTTTTATATTGCTATCCGACCAAGAGTGTTGGACACCGGGAATCAAGTACATCATAGATGTCCTTATTATATCTAGTGATTGCTCTTATTATTATTCCATTATTGAACTCATCAACTCTTTTTGCTATTCTATACTGATATATTAATTAGCTCAAATTCATGATTAAAGTTCATATTATAAGTAAACAAAATTAGGCCTTGCCCTTTCCAACCTCCTTTCTGAGATTGCGAAATTTGCGTGCCCATATCAATTAATTGGGTCATGCCAAGGTTTGATCGTTATATGTCTGCTCGAATCAAGTTAGATGAGTTACATTTGATCAGCTCAATCACTACCGTGTTTACCACAATGACAACTTGTAGGCTGAGTAATCTAAAATAATCAATAATCAAGCATGTGAAAATAATGACAGCTTAAACAAGTACAACATTTGGTATCGTACACCGTCACAATTCGAAGAATAGCATTAATAATTCAATTTACTTACAATAATTAAGGTCTTTTATTTGCATCATGCAAGCAAGTAAATAACAATATTCACAAGCTAATATAATGCATAATATCATTCCTTCTTATGCTTTTCTACAAAGAATTTTGCCAACACTTCACAACTCTGTATACATTTACTAATCAAGAGCATATATATATATGCATAACTAGCCTTAAACTAACGGGCAGGATAACCATATGCAACAGCGATCTGAGGATTCCCAGCAACTGATGGGGGATGAGCCCTGGGATCCATGCGTGACATCTGCTGTACAGGAGGGACTGCCATTATAGGAAACGCGCTAATGATGCCATCTCTTTTATCTAACTCTAGCTTATGCTGCGTCTGCATTTTATCATTAACATAGAGTGATGAATTGTAGTAGGATAGAATGGTCTGCATCTCAAAGCTGACATAATATGTTAAATGTTACACAATCTAGGAAATACTAGTAATTAACAAATGACAGCAAAAATTTGCAGAGTTAAGTAGTATAGTTAGTTCTGCATACCTGCATACATGCACAAACCCTGCAAAGGCCCGAAATATGATGAATTAGTTTGTATGTAGTCATCAAAGCAACCAGATCAAAGTTGAATCAGTACACACAACAAACTTACGTGCACATAACAGTATCCGATAAACAGTTCAAGCATTGTGAAAGGTCATTGAGTTCTTCGCTTCCAGTTAAGCAAGCAACTATTGAACATAAGCATGCAAAATACTGGAGGAAGAACATGAATCCCTAACCCCCAAAAATATATCAGTTAGTACAATTACCAAAGAAATTTTAGAAATCAAACATAATGAAGGGAAGATGGAGTACAATTATGCAGTTATCGCATTTTGTAGTGTGAATGTTGAACTCGTCTTGCAACATGAAGCGCGTTGAGGCAACAGAATTTGAGAAACAGCATACAACCTGAGATAAAACACTAAGTTCTTAAGCACCAAATTGTGCTTGAGCTGTCACAAAATAGTAGTCCACTTTCCATTTAATAAGGGCTTATTGTAACAAGAAAGATCACTAGTCTAATTTATACTCCGATTCAAACCTTAAAGGAATGTTTTGGTACTTTTACTCAATTCCTTAATATCATCCCTGAACTACATTTAGGAATCGGATGGTAACAAGTTTCGTAATTGAACACTTATATCAGAACAAAGTAGTACAACAGTCATGAAGTTAAACGTAAATTAAAGCAAGAAAGACAATGTATACCTCAGTACAAAGACAAAATTCAGGACATTTTTGCTCTCCACATTTGCCACTACAGGGCATATATCCACCACAACATGTGTATCTGTCAGAAAAAAAGTGTCAGCATGTTATGTTATGTTCATGCATATACACAAAAGTTTCATAGACTACTTAATATTGAAGTTATATATGCAAGAGATGTGTTCAATTAACCTTCTCATATCACCATACAAGGCTCGTTTGCGAAGCATGTAAGATGCACATGGTGCACTGCATATCAGCAAAACTTTATTAAGACATATCATGCATAAAACATACATTTACAAGTTTACTTTAGCCTTTAGGGCATGACACAGTGACAAGTTTGTCCACAATTAACCATTCTTAACTAATTTTATACCATGTTAAACTAGAGATTAGATATACGGAGTACTATATATGAATGTATAACTTTGATATGATTCTGAATTAATAAGAATTATATTAACTACATGTTCAAATATATTACCATATGATTAATGCTCCAAGGTTGTGTCTGGTTTGAAAAAAACATGAAGTGGTCAATTTTATCTCCTAGGAAAATAGTTAGAAATCTTTTCCACTCTTAAGAAATTCGTTGTAACCCTCAAAGTCAGAGTCCGCCGCAAAATTAAACATTAAGAAAACGAAAAATGTTGGAGGAAATAAATTCACCAAATGATCTTAAAAAAGTGTTTAATTTTTTTTTTTTAAAAAAAAAAGAGATAAAAAATTTAGAAAAAAGGTTGAAGAAATTAAATTCACAAAAATGATCTTAAAGAAATTTGAAAGAGATTTTAAAAAAATTACTCACCACCAAGCTGCATAACAACAATCTGCAAAGTTCAAAAAACATATTGTAAATATATAATCAAATATTAACAAAGTTGTATCATTAAGAAGAAGAAGAAAAAAAACAGAGAAAAGGAAACAACAAGCAGGATTAACGGAAAGAGTTTGCATGAGTTCGACAGTCCAATTATTGTGATAGCTTTGCCTCATTTTCATCTTCTCCAATTGCGCGTCGGAAGCCATTTTTATTATAACGAGTTAATTATAATTGATTCACCACCAAAATTCAACCAGATGAATGATTAATTTTTTTTTTAGTTAATATTATCTTAAGAAATTATGCAAGATATTGATTTTAATTGTTTTGTTTTGTGTTAGTAATTAATTAATGGAAATTTTGCATAAAAATGGAGGAATTGTTGGATTGAAGAAGAAAAGGACTGAAATTCGGTAATAAATAACGGTGGAAGATAGGAATAGTCTAATTATAGAGAAACTTTCCAAATTTGCGTTGAAATATTTTTGTTTTGTTCATTTTTAGAATTGTAGTTTATTGGGCATCAACTATCTAATGTAATAAAGTGGCGTTAAACCCGCCAATTGTGGCTTCAACACTTCAATTTAAAAATGTCTTACGGAGTATTACAATTTGATTACATCTGTTTTATTACTCGTTCCCAATTTAGAAATGCTTTTACTTTTGGAAGACACAATTCTTGTTTAGTTAGGGGTGATTTGAAAACCCCAACTGAAGCGGTTGTTGAGAATTTTACTTAAAAAGTGAACGACCATTAATCCATTATAATATTTAATAGGCAATGAGAATTGAACCTTTAACCATGTCATTGAGTGGTGACTTAGATCTCATAAATTTTATTAGTTATATTGTGTTGAATATGTCAATATTACCTAAAAATTGTACTTGATAGTGATTGACTTTCTTTACAAATAACTATACCACTATGGATAATTTTTTTTTTGGACAACAAAATTAAATACACACACGTAGCATACATTAGGAATTTCTTGATTTTCAGTTTTTTATTCAAGGTCTCTAACTTGAACATTTGCCATTAATAATTTAAATTTGATAAAAAAAAAATGATATTCAGTAATATGTAACTAAATTGTCAAAATATACGGTATAATCTACAAAAATGGAGGATATATCATTTATGTCTTTCAAATGAAATTATGAAAGTGAAATTTTGAAGCTGTAGCAATTATCTGAGTAGTAGTCTAGTAAAGCATGGGCTTTGGTGTTAAGAAGTAACCTTTAAAGACTTAAAGTTATAATTTGAGAAATTGAACTCGTTTAAAATTGGGGTTTGATCTATAGTTTCAAAACGTTGGGCAAGGCCCACGGGCTACAAGGCCTGTTATTACTCTGCCTTAGTGCCTTTATCGATCCTTAACTCCTTATTGCTCTTACCATTTTTAGCAGACTCTATATATGGAATACAGATTTACAGTACGGAGTATAACTTTATATTCCATCTATCTCTATTTTTTTTGCCTTATTCGACTTTTCACGATCTCTAAACACGTCTTAAAATGATTATAACTTTACTTCTATTATATTTATAAAAATTTTAAAAACTAGATGTTAATAAAATATACAATGAGATGAATCCAACAAGATTCCACTTGACCCAATTTACAGTCAAAGATTTTAAAGTTTGACCCAATTACTTGGAATGGGGCAAAAAAATAGGGACAGAGGGAGTAAGGCCCTGTTCACTTTACCTTAAAATAATAATAATAATAATAATAATAATAATAAGTAAAAATAATTTCTGTTCAATAAAAATAAGTTTAGTTCAGTAAAAATAATTTCAGTTTAGTAAGATTAATTTCAATTCAGTAAAAATAATTTCAGTTCTGTAAAAATAATTTCAGTTTAGTAAGATTAATTTCAATTCAGTAAAAATAATATCAGTTCAGCAAAAATAAGGTGAAGTGAACGGGGCCTAAGTACTACGAAGTACCTCAAATTTATAATATTTTTTGTTCTTTTCTGTTTTACAATATTTTCAACATTTTTCACTTTATTTCATTTTTAAAAAAAAACTCCTTTTACTACTACATCGTGTTATTTCACAATATTTACACATTTTCATTTATTATATCTCTCCCTTTTATTTTATCAATCTTTTATTTATATTGTATCCACTGACTTTTCTTTTAAAAGTATTGAGCAATATTAAATGTTACAAACATTATATGTAGGATTGTAGGATTTTTTTCAAAAATACATCAAAGAGGCAAATTAAGTAGTGTACTTAGCAACCTAAAATTGAGTAGTCTTGGTAATTCGAGTAATTTGTACTTTAAATAAATAAATAAAATAAATAAATAAATAAATAAAGAATTGCTATGTTTTATGTTTAACTGTTATATTTGTCAATGTATGATTTAACTAAACAACTAAGTACTTCATATAAATCATTTTAATTATAAATGATTAGTATTTATATAAGGTTTTTTTTTCCCCTTGTCCCTCACATTTCCTACTTTTAAGTAAACAATTAACCTAACATTTGAATTTTTTTTATGTATGAAGTGGTTCCGACGGTGGAGGAGGGGTTTCGGCGGTAGGGTGGGATGGAGCAAGGGGGTGCCGACGATGGGGTGGTGGCTGGGTTAAAATTTAGGGTTTTTTTTTTAAGTTTTTTTATTTTTCTTTATTTTATCCAAGGGATTAGTGACACGTGTCATCCGTTAAGTGGTGGTGAAATCCATTTTTTTTTTTGTGGCGTTATAATTAAAGTTTTGTTTTTGTGGTGTTAAATTATTTATTTATTTATTTTATGTTTTTTGTTGTGGTATTATAAGTCAAAATTTCCAAAAAAAAAAAATGACCCAAATTTATGAAATATTTATTTTATTTTGTTGAATAAATAAAAAAAATTAAAAATAAAGAAATTATAAAACAAAAATGGATTTGAGCTACTAAAAAAGAAATTGAGGTTAGCGTTGTACACGCAAACCTTATATATATATATATATATATATATATATATATATATATATATATATATATATATATATATATATATATATTGAAATAATAAAATATAGAATAACAAATTGCATGATGGTGGCTTGTGCAAATTTTCTATACTACTTAATGTACAAATTACAAATAAGTATTCGTAAATGGCTATGAATTTTAGTTGTTGATTGATTAAATTAATTAATATAGTGTGAGGTGAATGATCGATCTTTTTCAAAAAAAAAAAAAATTTCAATGAAAAAACATAAGTGTTAAATTGTTTTCATTTTATTTGTCTCTTTAAAAAAAAAAAAAAAAAAAACAATCATCACAAGGGGAAAACAGAAGCGCAAGAACAAAATAGAATGAGAAGAGAAAAACGAATGTTTTTTTTTTTTTACGAAAGAGAAAAACGAATGTTAATTAGGAACAAGAATGTAAATGTGCATACTAGTTTTCAAAGAAACACGTTCTCTACCCCTGAAAAACCTTGAAAAAATTATGTTCTTCCATTTTATGCCAATTAATTTAATTATAGATCAAATACTTTCCCAAAAAATTAAAAAATGGAACCAAAGACTCACACCATTGCGTAATCTATTGCCGAAAAAGGCACCACCTTTGGACAAAAATTATATGACATGTCATACCTACAGTCCATTTCTATGATCCAAATATTAAAATAATAATATACATGTGGATGCTGTTCATGTAATTACACACTTAAACCAAGGGTATAATGGAATTTCAAATTTCTGAAATATCGAGAAAGCAACAGAAACTCATCTTCATTTTTATTTATTTATATAATTTTTTTATTGCAACCACACCAAAAAATAAATAAATAAATAAAATAAATAAAAACCCTCATTATAAATATAGAAGTAACTCCACGTCTATGATAAGAGATCTGCAAAGCTAGACAACGACGAATAAAAGAGAGAAAAATTAAATTAAATTAAAACATCCTTTCAACCCTCCAAAAAACAAAAAAAAAGAAAAAAAAAAAAAAAAAACATTTTCAGAAGAACTGAAAGAAAGAAATTATTTTTAGCAGATCTGAAATTCGTCGAAAAATCAAGAAAAAAATTATGAGGATTAGAAAAAACGCAAGGCTAATATCATCTTCATCTTCTTCTTCATCATCATTTCTAGTTTGTCAGCTCAATCGTTCTCCTTGGGATGTCGACTCTTTCTCTCTCCAGGTATTTTCATTTTCATTTTTTTTGAATTTTCTGGTTTTCAGATCTAATTTTCTTTCCCAACAATTTCAATTTCAAACTTTGTATTAATTATTTTCAGAAATATTGTTACATTTTGTTGCATTTTCATTTTTTTTTCTGCAAAAAACTATTGTAGGCGCGATAAAAAAAAGTAGGGTTTGAAGATGGAGTTTATTTTTTGAGCTCCATTTCTAGGGTTCTAAGTAGTAAATAAATATTTGATTTGAGATGATACTATTAAACTGTAATTATTTTAATTAAAGTAGGTTAATGGTTGAATTAGTTCATCTTTAGTTAGCTTGTTTATTATCATTTCACGACGTCGATTAATTTCACTCAGGGTGAATGGGAAGATGGATTTGCCGTTAATGGAAGCTTAGCGGATGCGTTTCCTTCTTCAGACAGGTATTAAATTAGCTAATCTTTATATTATCTACTTCAATTATTTTCATCTCCGATGAAATTATTTTTTTTTTTTCGAATTCTAGGGTTTTAATTTTGGAAGGTTTTTTTTTAAAAGAAAATTTTTCCGCTTAAATTTAGAAATTGATAAAAACAAAAGTATTTTTTTCTTTTTATGCTTTTATGATTGAAATGGTGTTTGTTAATACAGCTTCCCTAGTGGGGAGTCCATGGAATTATCGTTCGAGTACGTCGAAAAACCGCTGCCGCCGCCACCACCACCGCAGCCTCTTCTCGAGGAGAGAGATGAACAACAACAAATTGGGGTTGGCAATGGTAGGAGTAAAGGGTGGCAACATATCCATCACCAACTCAAGCCGCCACCGCTTAAGGTGGCACTTCCGCCAATCCCCACTCCTCCAAAGAAGCGGGGACGGCCTAAGAAGCCCACCACACCCGCAACAACACCTACGACACCAACGGTCATCACCCCGGCAACACCGGCTGCCACAAGGCCCGTGAATAATAATAGTAATATTAGCAATAGCAATCCGTATGAGTTTTACTATTATTCCGGGTTCGGCCCGAGGTGGAGCAAGAGAAGAGGAGGGAACAAGCACAATGTGGGTAATGATGGCAATTATTTCAATGCGACAACAATCAACGAAGCTAACGAATCGCCGGGTTCTTCCTCAACTAGTCATAATATTATGAGTGAAGACGATAAAGATGATGACGACAACAAGAAAATGAAGGGTAATACTACTACTAAAATTGTTGAAATGGATAGTAATTCGGATAATGAAATCGACTATATCGAGGATGATTTCGATGATGATGAGGATGAAGATGAAAATAATGGTGGGAGAAGAATTCGTAAGCCTGTGAAAGCTAGGTCACTTAAATCGTTGATGTGATTTTATTATCAATGCTAAATTTTGCTTAGTTGCTGCTAGGAAGGTTGAAGGTTGTAGCTTGTAGGTTTTCTTTCTTTTGTTTGTATTTGTCGAAATTTTATGGTGCTTTCTTTTTCTTTTTCTTTTTCTTTTTTATAATGTGTTGTATTGTGCTGTCATTTGAAGTAGCTAACCGATTAGTAAGAATAGCAAGCCTTTTTTTAATTTATTTTGCGAGTGACTTGTCAAATGAGCAATCCTCTATATTTTGTCAAACTTTTAAGCCTAATGTTGTAATGCAGTATTTTTGCAGTTGACTTCATAAAATTTAGATTTATTACTCCATAATAAAGTTATCGCGTAATAAGTTCTGGTTTCTTTCGCTTTATTTAATTACAATTCAATAATTATTTAATAAAGACTAATATGATTAAACTAATAGTATAATTATAAGTGTTTTTTAAGGTAAAGTTTATATTAAAAAAATTGTAACTTTTATAGTAGACTATAAGAGTAACTTTAAATACTTTTAAGGTAATTTTAACATGTCTTTACATTAAATTAATAAAAGTTCGCCTTATTCAAGAATATTTTTAGTCATGCATGAAATAATTCTGGAGAATCGCTTTCGCTCTTTATACTATATCACGGAAAAGGGTTAGATAGACAAGTCGAGCCATCCAAGAGTAATGATTCACATGTTTTCTCTTGCAAAATTAGTTTTGCTTCAAGAGAGAGATTTTAACTAGTGAATACCCAAAACAATTAGATTTAAAATAAATGACAATCTTATCAGTTTTTAGATTTAAACTAACTTTTTTAACTATGAGATAGATGAGTATTTTCATTTAATATTGTAATTTTGTGAGAGATGCAATCACAAGAACGAAATTACATTGAAGTGCATTGTCATTTAATATTGTAATTTTATGAGAGACGCAATCAACATTTAACAAAGATGATATGCAACTGGGCAATATTTTTAAAAACGTAGGGAATTCTAATTTTAAGATGAGGAGTCGAACCCCCAACCATCCCTCCATCTCCTACATCCTCAATTGTCAAAATTTGATACTGCAATGTAATTTTGATAAAAACACCACATGCATTTGCCATTTATGTTATTTCTATAAATTTTTATTATTTACTTCGTAGAATATGAAGGAGTGAAGGACTGTCAAGTATCAATGTGTAATACGGAGTACCTGTTTGAGAAAATATCTGACCGCAAACACATTTTAGATTGATATTGGTGCTGCTCTATGTTAAGTTGTTTATATATCCAGTCAATGGTGCACTCCTCTTCTAATTACTAAGCTACTACATGTATTGCTAATTCAAGTTATACTATGAATTATTCAACAGTTAGCAAAGTGTTTGCTAGTCAGCTAATATTGCTCAACCATGCTAAACTCGGCGTCTAATTGTTAGCCATTTAGAGTTTTTCTTACATTCTAGTCACAAGTACGAGTATTTCTTGATGGATTGGAGCCGCAGTAGTTAAGAGTATATATGTTGTACATACTACTGTTTGGTGACATTTAATTTAACAATTTGCTTATATGAAATTTGTACCAACTATCAGCAGGTCCATTTCACACTATGAATTTGGTTATAACTTGAGTATGTTGGACGATTATGTTATGTTTGATGCAAATTATCCCACAAACGCTAGCTTCTCTCGTGTTGTATATGCTCTAGTTAAAGTTCAAATGCAACTTTGATCAAGCAGTACACGATATATAGCAGTAGCAACTGCTAGGTGTGGCTTCAGCTTACTTAGATGCATGACAAATTCATGGCTAGCTAGATACTAGAGGGAATAGAAGTGATTATTCAGATCAACTGATGACTAGAAACAACGTAAGTAAAATCAGTAGATTTACATCTTTATGGTGCATTCTTCATTGGACACAGAAGTTTATGCTTTTATCATATACTTATATTTATTTAGTAAAAAGATTGTTACAGAGTAAAAACAGAAGAGTTCATTATTGATAATGCTGGCTTGATTAGGTTCAAATGAGGTACATTTGTAAGACTATATACATCCTAACGTGTAATTCATGGAAATGCTTCTTTTTACTACATACTAATTGCATTCTACTTCCGCGAATATTACAGTAGGAAGTGTAATGTCTGAATCTATAGCATCCGATCATTTTAGCAGTTCAATATCTATTTTAGCTGTTCAATATCTGTTTTAGAGTACTTTTGCTAGAAAGAAGAAAAACAGAGGAATTTTCAAATTTTCTCTCTAGTTCAATCTAAAGTAGTGTACATAGGATGATCGATAAACCCATCTTAGAGATGGTACTAAATCTCATGAGCGTTTAAATTTTCCCAAAATACATAAGAACGTTTACAGTTACGTGACTACATGAGTGTTTTAATGGAATAAAACTCCCGAATACGATGATTCTGGCCCTTTACGAGACTATGATAGCAATAGTGAGCATATTATAGATTGTGGCTCAAAAACTACCAACAAATGCAACAAAAAGAAACCGGAAGGATACAATAAAAGGCAGATTCTTTGAGCTTGTACTTTCTTTATTGCAAGTATATTTATCATCATGATTTTGTGAGATGTTTTTTTACACTCCCATTTTAAAAAGAGAGGAGGAATTGGGTTAGTGGGTTATCGGGTTGGGATGATAATTTTTATTTATACAGTAAATTGGTGATTTAGTCAACTTGGTAGCCTTTGAAAACAGCCTCACGTACTTTTTAATTTTCAATCATAATGTTCCAATTTATACTTTTATGATTCTTGTTTTTGACATTTCCATAGTCTCTACTAATGTAACATCAATTGAATGAAAGACAAGCATTACAAAAATTTCTCTATGAACTCTACGGGTTGGAGTATATCTTAATCTAAACAATAACTATTCAAATTAAGACATGATTAACAGGTCGTTCATTAATTAAATCGCATCTTTATATATAGCTTAGCTTTATATAAAAGTCGTGATTTCTCCGGACAGAATTTAATAAAGGGTTAGATATGTTCGAGAATATCAACACAAAAAAAATAATTTATATCAACTATCACAAATTTGTTAAAGTATTCACCGTAAGTCTGTAACCAGTATCAAGATGTATACTCTATATGTAATATGTACCACACTACCGCAAGGTCCACATTTATTTATGATATCACCACAATTGTCAAACAAGCTAGAACCCTCCAAGTACAATTGTAAGCAAATGAAGTACAATGCATCTATTAAATGAAAGGCATATTTCTAAATGAAAATATGAGATTGGACTACAACCAATCCTTAATTTAGATAAACTAATTACACTAATATTGTAACAATTAAGCTAGAAAGTGAAAATAGGAAGGTGGAGTGGGGGGCACAGTGATATATAGTTATATAGAAATGTAATACTATTGTTAATTAGAATATATTAGTGGTTAGTGCCCTAAATGTTGATGCCGCTAATAATGGTAGGTCCCTGGTTGTAGGCACAGTCTTGTTTCTCCTTATAAATTGTAATGAAAAATTAGCTCACTCTTAAATTTATTTTATCTTATTTTTTTTAAAAAGGAAAAGATTACAGTCTTAAAAATGTGATTCTTGAACAGTACTAACAAAGTACGAGTTGTCAATTGAAGGATTGTAATTACTAAAACACCCTTATTTTTAATGGGGTAGATCAAAATTTAATATTTCATTTTTCCTACAAGGTCCAAAACTAAATTAAAGTCGTTGCTTTTTCATTCTCTATTTTTTCTTCCCTGTCATTTATCATATACGAGTATTCTCTTTAAATACAATAGTACATGCTTCCTAATTAAGAGAAAAAAAAAATGTGAATTACCTATCAACTTCAATTCCTCATAATATACAATTATGATTATAGTATATATATTAGCCTTTTATTTACAATTATTTATAAATATTGATGATCAAGTAAGTCATGTCAAACAATTATGGACAATTTATAGGAATAAATAAGTTAATTTAATGACTAATTGAGAATGGTGGAATATAATAATTAAAAACTTAAAAATTAATAGGGGCTTAAACTAATAGTTTAGGCTTCTTTTTTTATAATTATAATTTCATTAATTTGATTTGAACTTTTTTTTATCACATAGTTAAAACTTAGAATACATATAAATATTATACTCCGTAATGGATAATATTTGTATATTACTAAGTACTAAATTAATGAAAAACCATTATAATAATTATATTATTATTATTCAAATTTATAGTATCTGTATGTTAATATAAATATTCTGTCTATATATGGATTTAAAAAAATAAATAAATAAATAAAAACAAAAACAATAATTGTTACAAAAATAACAATGTTTTTACTATAATATCTTAATTTACATAGGTTACTCTTTAGGTTCCTTGTTGATTACATTTCTTGATTTCAATTTAGTTATAATTCTTATCAATCTCCCTAATTTTCCTTAATTTCCTTTTATGACTTTGTTAGGTTAGGTGATAGCTTAATTAGCTTTAAGCTAAGGGAAAAGAAAACACTACTAGGAACCCTTCTCACAAGGGAAATTCCTAAGGAATAGATTATAGGTGTATTGGGTTGGTGACCTTGGGGTTAGATAACTTAGGAATGCACCAACTAGTAGACGTAGCAGACTGTGTTAGGTTGTTTATGAGTAGGGTAGGATCAACTCAACTTCACTTGAGATTTTCTTTTTCCTTTTATAGCGAATAATGAGCTAATTCATACATAGGTCCTCTATCTTAAACAAGCTAATTCACAATTCTTTAGTAATTTAGGGAGGTTCGTGGGTTGGGAAGCAAATTTGGGTGTTTTTTACTTTCTTTCTTTTAAATTTAGGCATTTAAGAAGCATATTCTAGGGCAAGTTATGGATTGGGCTATTTATGAAGGGTTTTGACTACCCAGGTTTTGGGCCATACATTTGGAATTGGGCTATAAACTTATAATTAATACTCCATCTACTTCCTCCGTTAACGGTTAGTCGCAACATTTACCAAAAAAGGGTGCTAACTATTATTTGCAACAAACTTATTTTTTTCCTATTTTAGTAACATTTTTCTGTCAAAATGACCAAAATACCCTCACTTAAAAATTATTAGCACATAATTACAACTCATTATAACCCTAATTTGAATTAATTATCTAAGTCTTCCCACCCTAAAAATCAGATTATTCATCTCCCCAAT